CCTAAGTTTCAAAAATTAAGATTCTGGGTTCCCGCATAAGTTTAATATATATTTTTAATTTATATTCAATTAACAAAACAAATTATCGTTAGAATGTAAAATATAATGCCAAAATCTTCTCTAGAACTGACAAATTTATTGGGACTTTTAGGACCGTTTAACATCCCTAGTGAATTGCATGGCTTGTTATCACAAATTTTTTGTTATCATTAAGCATTGATAATCATTCCCAAAAAAGAAAATACTGCTCTAACATTAGCATTAGTAACTGTGATCGAGATCTCATTAATTTTTATAAAATTTTTTTGGTGACCTTGTGTTACAAATCCTATTCATAGTATTTTCTTTGTTGGATCTATGGGGAATTGTATACTGAAGCAGCAATGAAAGAAGGGAATTCTATACTATAACAAAGTTCACATGCAGCATTTGTTTATTCTTGATTTGATATTTTGGAGAAGAATTTCTTTGCAGCGTAGTAGGCAAAGAAGAGGTCTCATTTGGAAAGGTGATATTTTTTTCAATGTCTTTGGTTAACATATTTTCTGAGTCGTTATAACTAAGGATTTCAAAGGTAAAATCTATCAATTCAGATCATCTAAATTAGGGTCATTGGGGTCTTGGTCTCAGCGGTCATTATAACGAAAATCTTTACCGGTATTCGTTATAGGCCTTATCATTATCAAAAGTTTTGTTTGTTTGTTTAACTGATAAGTTTTCCTCTTTTTGTTTTCCTTTGGCAGTGGTAAGCGGTTGGTGGGTCAACATCCATGGTTTCTGGACCTTTTTTTCGATTAAACCTGTTGAAGAAGTTGGTTTAACAGTGATATCATCAGTTTGAGGAGTCTTTATGAACATTTTATCATTTGTTTGATGAAGTTTCTTTAACAAGTTCTGGTGAGCAGGAACGGTCTTTTCGGTCTTTAGCTTTTCGCTGCAAAATTCTAGTTGGTCTTGACATTTTTGCAGAAAGAGTTTTTTTTTTCGATCTGATCAATCAAAATTTGTTCTCAATTGTACAGTAACTTCAGGGCTACTGCGCCTCTTAAAATGGAATTTTTCCTTAACGCCCAATCAAATTTGAGATCTAATAATTTAATCTGGTTTGATTTTTTTTCTAAAAAAAATTTATTCGATAATGAACACCATTAAACGTACATTTTATCAATTTCGCACTTCCAGCTTAAATTTTACACCAAGACGACAGTTTAGTAAAACTGTTTTAGTTCGTCATGAAAATCCTTTGGTATAATATAATACATCATTTTCCTTTTCTTTTTAGTATATAATCATACACGATAAACTTTTGTTTAACAGGGCCTACCTTTACAAGTCAATAAGTCGAAAATTGTTGGTAATGCTACAAGAAAAAGCGTTGATATGGAAGAACGAATGCGTCGTGGTTTACCTACTAAACGATTGATACGTGGCGTTAAACGAGTCATTGCTGTCGCGTCTGGTAAAGGAGGAGTTGGAAAGTCCACCACTGCTGGTAATAATATATTTTTATTGTTTTTTATTTTTTTTCGTATAATTTATAAATAAATTTTTTTTTTTTGATAGTTAATCTGGCACTTGCAGTTTCTTCATTTAGGAAAAATGTCGGTATCTTGGATGCAGATATTTTTGGTCCTTCCATACCTCGTCTAATGAATTTAAAAGGGGAACCAAATATAATTGAATCAAGTATGTCGTCCAAATTTACGTTTATTTTAAAAAAATAAATAAATAATAAATTACCATATTTATCCCTATAGATGGAAATTTGATACCGCTTGTAAATTATGGAGTTAAAGCAATGTCAATGGGATTTATGGTTGGAGAAGAGTCACCAATAGTATGGAGAGGTCTTATGGTAATGAAAGCACTTCAACAATTGCTTCATCAAGTTCATTGGGATGAACTTGATTTACTTGTAATTGATATGCCTCCTGGTACAGGCGATACGCAATTAACTATCAGTCAACAAATTGAACTGTCTGGTGTTGTTATCGTTTCTACTCCACAAGATATAGCCCTTATAGATGCCAAGAAGGGAGCAAATATGTTCTCAAAGGTCAATGTGCCGGTGAGTTACAAATAAATAAAGGAAGGTTTAAAATTTTTTTTAATTATATTAAAGTCAAATTTTTATCACAAAGATTCTTGGAATAATACAAAATATGTCAACATTTATTTGTCCAAATTGTCAACATCAAACTCATATATTTGGTAAAGACGGAACTAATAAGGTAGCAAAGGATTTGAATATCGATTTATTAGGAGATATACCGTTGGATGCTGATATCTGTGATTTATCAGATCTTGGAAAACCGATTGTGATTGCTAAGCCTGATAGCATATATGCAAAAGGTTATAAGGACATTGCTCTTAAAGTCTTGGACAAATTGGAAATCTCGTAAACTTTCTTGGATTAATTTCCGAGATTCATCTATTCGCGATATGTATCAAATCTCCTGATTTTGCGCACAGCCCCAATTGAATGTGATAGATAAGTGACACTCGAACGAAAAAAAAAATTTTTTAAGCTTTTTTGAGTCAGCAAAATTTGGTAAATCATTAAATTATTAGAACAATAAATGAAACAGATTGTTAGTTAATATGATTTGATTCATCAATGAAAATTACTATCGGATATTATTTCTGCAAAGATCATACCACCAAATAAATTGTGCTACAGTCCTTATTTGGGGGATGCCAAGGTTACTGGGCGCAATGAATTTTTTTATCCATTCAAATGATCGATTCGTGTCGTGAATTTTTTCGCGATAAAGTTATAATTTTTTTTGAATTTAAATATTGGTAACAATGACGAACTTTAATGAATTTTCAAAATTACTATATAATGACTAATGGCGAATGAAAATTATTATGGCTTATCGTTTTGAAAAGAGAAACTTGTAATTCTTTTTTCATAAATAAAAAATAGTTCTGATTGAAGATAGAAATTCTTTATTGGTTCTTTTAAATACAGAAATTTAGCACTTTGCAATTTGAAATAATCCTATAATGATCGTGAAAGAAAGAATTAGAAGCCTAATGCCTGACCAGGGCTGAAGCAAAACAAATTGAATTAAGCCTAGCAAAGGTACAAAAACTAAAGAGAAACAAACTTCTCGGTGGATAATTTGGAACATCGTTCGGCTTTGCAGAGCATAGCCGCATTCATCAAATATTTTCAACCCTGAAATTTTTTTGGGGACGTTACAATCTTATAATTTTGGACATGAAACACTTCATTTCATTATTGTGTGATACACAGTCAATCAAATAAATAATTTAAGATTTTTTCAAGCAAACCGTTAAATATATTAAATATTCCCTTTTTCTTGCTGGACATGAAAAAATAATAGATAATTTCATTCCTTTTCTTATTTCTCAAATTTCGGAGTTCTTTTTTACTTTAACGAGTATAATATAAGATTTTCCCTTTGCCACAATTCTTGCTAAATTCAGTTTCTTCATTGTCAAAATTTCATTTGTTTAAATTCAATAAATAAAATTTCCTGATTTTTAAAAAAAAACGTACCTAGAGGTGTGTTTGTTGTATTACAAAATTTTTTTTTACTCAAATCAAGTTATTTTCGAACAACGGCTTATAAATTTTTTTGTTTTACATTACCTCATAGATTCTCAGTTCTCCTCTTTAGAATTAACACTATTTTTTATATAAATCCTTTTATTTTTTATTTTTTCCTTTTTTTTTTTTTTTGTAAATAATAATAATAATCATTCCCATTTTATATATATATCTTTATTAAGATTCAGAAACAAATAATATTTCTTAGTTTCTTAAAATATGGTCGGAGCTGACGTTCATTCCCGAGCTGTCAGTATAATACAAGACCTCGGTGTTGATTATGATATTAATATTACCGATGAAGAAAGTGACCAAAAACGAGAATTACATGACGTTACGTCAACCATAGTTTCTCCATTGACATTTCAACAGCAATACGTTGAAGTGGAAGTAATTCCAATTCATGGTATGACATGTCAGTCTTGTGTTAAATCAATATCTAATGCGGTTTCTCCGTTATCCGGAATCGTCAATATTAGTGTGAGTTTAGAAAATAATGAAGCGACAATTTCTTTCAATGCGAATAAAATAACCAAATCAAAAATCATTGAAACGATCGAAAATTGTGGATTTGTCGTACCAACAAGACCAAATCACGATTCGCAAAAGACCATTACTTTGCCAGTGAAAGGGATGACGTGTATGTCTTGCGTCAATTCTATTAAGAACGCATTTAAGGATACACCCGGGATAATCAATATTGATGTGAGCTTAAAAGATGAGCGGGCGGTATTTGATTTTAATGAGGATTTGATTCAAGAGGATGAAATTATTGAGGGTATTGAATATTGTGGATTTGATGTACCAAGAGAATATAATAAGATTGACATTGAACAAATAAAAAAAGTTGTTTTACCAGTTAAAGGAATGACATGTAATTCATGTGTGATGTCCATCACAAATGCTTTAAATCAAATTCAAGGGATTTTTAATGTAATAGTGAGTCTTAATAAAGAAAATGCTTCAGTTGATTACGATGAGAGTTTTGTTACTGAGAAATCAATCATCCAAACTATTGAGGACTGTGGTTTTGACGTTCCCTTAACATCATCAAATAATAATTTAACTTCCTCATTGGCTTCGAATTTTGCCCCATTCACAAACATCACATTAAAGAGTTCACAACCAGCAGAATCATTTCCTCTTGAGGTTATAAACACACATACTTTTGATTCAGATAATATTCAAGTTTGTCAGATACAAGTACTTGGGATGACTTGTGCCTCTTGCGTGAACAACATTGAGAAAAATTGTCATGGAGCCGCTGGAATAGTGTCAATCAAAGTATCTTTACTCGCTGAAAGGGCGACGGTAGAATATGATCCCGATATTTTAGATGAACATTCGGTAGCCGATTTAATTGAGAGCATAGGGTTTAAAGCGACTCCAATTAAACCAAAACGTGAAGATTATGTCGATCTTCAAATTTATGGGATGAAGAATCCCGATCATGCTCAAGTAATTGAACGTGAATTACTTAAACATTCTGGAATAATTAGTGTTTCAATTGATTTTGCCACAGCGTTAGCAACGGTTCATTTTGACAAGGAATCGTTAGGAGTTCGTAACATTGTAGAACATATTGAAAGTATTGGATTCGATGCACTTATCTCCGATAATAGTCAAAAAACTCAGTTAGAATCTTTGGCTCGTACAAGGGAAATCACAGAATGGCGTTCATCGTTTTATAATTCATTAACTTTTGCCGTACCGGTTTTTCTTATCTCTATGGTCCTTCCAGGATTTGAATGGGGAAAAAATTTGGTTATGGTTCAATTACCTCTCGGAATTTATAGTGGACATTTGGTTGCTCTCTTATTAACAATCCCCGTTCAATTCTGTGTTGGAAAACGATTTTATGTCTCATCATACAAGGCTCTAAAACACAAAACTGCTACGATGGACGTTTTAGTGGTTATTGGAACCACATCCGCATTCGTCTTTTCATGCTTTTCCATGATCTTTGGGATCTTTAATCGTAGTTACAAACCATCCGTATTTTTTGATACATCAACCATGTTGATTACTTTTGTTACTCTTGGAAGGTATCTCGAGAATATGGCAAAAGGAAAAACATCGGTCGCATTATCAAAACTCATGTCGCTCACACCCGCTACCACCACCATATTTATCAAGGATTCTAAAACTGGGGAATTGACCGGAGAAAAAAAGATCCCTACCGAATTAGTGCAAGTTGGTGATATCGTAAAGATTGTTCCCGGTGATAAGGTTCCAGCTGATGGAATAGTTACTTCAGGTCAATCAAACGTCGATGAATCAATGGTTACAGGGGAAGTCAATCCTGTGAATAAGCGACCGGGAGATTTAGTGATTGGTGGTACGGTGAATGGATTAGGAACTTTTGATATGGAAGTTACTCGTTCTGGGAGTGATACAGCCTTGTCTCAAATCGTCAAACTTGTTGAAGAAGCTCAAACCTCCAAAGCTCCGATACAAGAATTTGCTGACACTGTCGCGGGTTATTTTGTGCCTGTAGTTATTGGATTGGGCTTGCTTACGTTCTTTGGATGGATGATTCTCGCGCGATCTTTAAATAATCCTCCGGAAATTTTTAAGGATGGCAATAATTATTTCATAGTTTGTCTTAAGTTATGTATTTCCGTTATCGTAGTTGCATGTCCATGTGCATTGGGTCTTAGTACACCGACGGCTGTCATGGTTGGAACTGGTATTGGAGCACAAAATGGAATTTTAATTAAAGGAGGAGGTCCACTTGAGGCAGGACATAAGGTCACAAAAGTTATTTTCGATAAGACCGGTACACTTACAAAAGGTCAATTAGATGTCACACATTATGAAATTATAACAAATAACTTGGAATTGACTAAAGAAACTTTCTTTGCGATTGTTGGAGCAGCCGAATCTTCAAGTGAACATCCTCTTGGAAGATCCATTGTGAATTATGGAAAGAAATTATTGGATATTGAAACGTATGATGTTGACATTTCGGATTTTAAAGCCATCGCTGGGTTAGGTATCGAGTGTAATGTGGTTCTAAAAACTTCATATTCTACCGTTACTCCTTTATCAGCTATAACTGACACCACATCAAAATCATATCATGTATTGATTGGAAACGCAAGGTTCCTTTCACTTCAACATCAAATATTTATTCCAGATGAAGCGGTGAATATTAAGGAATCGCAAGAACGACTTGGAAGAACCGCCGTATTAGTGGCTATTAATAAATCATTTGCCGGTTGTATATTTTTATCTGATGCAATTAAACCTGAAGCAAAAGTAGCAGTTTTGGCCTTACGTCGTATGGGAATTTCTGTCGCGATGGTGACAGGAGATCAATTACTCACGGCTCAAGCGATCGCGGCACAATGCGATATTACGGAGATTCATGCGGGGGTATCACCAAAGGGTAAAACACAAATAGTTCAATCACTTCAATTTGAAGGTAAAGGGAATGTGGTTGCGATGGTTGGAGATGGTATAAATGATTCGCCAGCGTTAGCGGCGGCAGATTTAGGTATCGCACTTTGTTCGGGTACAGATATTGCAATAGAAGCAGCAGATATCGTGTTGATGAGAGGAGATATAACAGATGTTGTGGCGGCTATTGATTTATCAAGGTCAATATTTAAACGTATTAAATTAAATTTTATATGGGCAAGTTTATATAATATATTAGGTATTCCATTAGCCATGGGATTATTTATTCCATGGGGATTTCATTTACATCCAATGATGGCAGGGGCTGCAATGGCTTGTTCAAGCGTAAGCGTTGTCTGTTCTAGCTTATTATTAAGATGGTGGAGTAAACCTCATTGGGTTGAAGATGGTAACGGAGGAGTAGAAAAAGCTGTTGATGAAGGAGGTTTTATAAATTATTTAATAACCTTGATGAAACAAGGTCCAGTTAGTACTTATGATGGTGGCAGATATAGTAGATTAGCCGCTGATGATAGTTTATAAATTCAAAAAAAAAACTTTTATTTTTATTTAAATTTGGAAATGGACATAGACATGTATTATACTGATTGTAAATCCGTAAATTTTTTTAAATAATTTTTAATTTTTGCATTGTCTTTTTTTATTAAAATTTTTTTGGAGAACTTTGATCAAAAAAAAAAAAAAATGTAAGGTATTAGATTAAAAACAATAAAAAAATTAATATTGTTTTAAGACTTATAATATTACTGATAATGAAAGTCTCTTGATGCTATTAATTAATTAGAATTCATTACTTGAAAAAGGTTTAAAATACGTGGTACTAAGTTGCAAGAGGATTTTTTCTCAAAACTATATAGTGTAGTGCTTTTACCGATTAGATGCAATATCAAATAAATTTAATGTTATGTGGTTATTACAGTTGAGATTTTACATTATATCATATTAATGCAAACTAGAAAAAAAGGTATCTCGTAAAATAAGCAATACTAAAAGCAAATATTGAGAAAAAGTATATATATATGATCTTTATAACGATTATAATAATTGGATTCCTAAGTATTTGGCAAATCGTTTGCGTCGCGCTTCAACAGGATCAGTGGTTGACAGCCCATAAAATTCCATGAGAGATTTTATACTTTGTTCTTTATATTTATGATATATAATTTGATTTAGAAAAAAATGATTTTAATTTTTTTTGAAAGTTGAGATTTTGCTATTATACAGACCTGACATTTCACGTAGTCTAGTGATCGATTGGGGATAATTCGGAGGGTCATTACCAGACATATCCGGGACGATTTCCAATTGTAAATCCGGATCAGATAAACGCGAATTAAATATTCGCGCGAGATTACGTCTATCCCTAAAACAAACAAAAAAAAAAATTATCACCTACTTTTCTTTAATTCATAATATAAACAAAAAAAAAAGAAAAACATACGAGTTTTGCGCGGTGGTTTGAATAGTAATTGTTAAATCATTAACATTATTAGTCAAATTTGTGACTGTGCTAGACAAATTTGTGACTGTGCTAGACAAATTTGTGACTGTATTAGACAAATTTGCGACTGTATTAGACAAATTTGCGAGTGAATTTTGAATTGTTGTTAATTGATTTGCAATAACCAAGTTTGGTATATTTGACGCCAAAGTAACTTCATGGGAAAGCGTTGATAAGGCTTGGGATACGTTGGTGTAATTTGGTTGTGCCTAAAAATTAATATTATAAGAATTTTATTTCGCGTAAATCAAAAAATAATTGTTATTTACCATTTTTTTTTTCTTCAAATGGTTAGAAGTGAAAAATTATGGATAAGATTTTCCTATGAGAGATATTATATTATAACCAGGATACTTCGTCAAATGACGACATATGATCAATCCAATACTCAACCAATAGTAATTGAAGCTTTTTATTACCGCACGTGATCGATCCCTTGACACGGATGACAAATAACACATGCAATATAAACATATAAACATGCGGTCTAATTATTAATTTTCTTATAATTTCATACTTCTTTATTTTTTTTTGAGAGCTGATTTAGGATTTTATGAAGAATTCAGCTTTTCTTTATACTTTGAAGTTTTTTAAACTTTTATTTATATTCAAAAGGTATTTTATTTATTTTTTTTTATAATAGAATTTATTTATTTATTTAAATAATGTTCTCTATAGTTTTTCTAACCATTTTATATTCATAAATATTAAATTTTGAATAGCTTTTATATTTGGTTAAATATATTTATTTACATATAAGTGCTTATCAATAGAAAAGGAAAAAATCTAAAAAAAACATTAAAAATTTATAAAATAACTTATTATTTAAAGTTATAAATCATTTTATTCTTTTTAATAGATATATATTAGATTTAATAACTTTTTTTGTTAATGGATTGGATTTGCTTGTACTAAATTAAGTATATTGTACTAAATTATGATGGAAAATAAACTGAAATTTCTACTAATTTAAATAGATAATAGGGGTTCAAAATTAATAAACTATTTATTTATGTTAGAGGGTATTTATAATAAATATCATAGGCTCATCAAAGTTGTATATGGGACAAAATCAAACGAAATCATGCATAGAGTAGATCTACTAACTTTAAAAAGTAAATTATTATTCATACTCTAATTTTGTTCTTTAGGTGAAAAATCAATCATATGACTATATAATTCTGGCTAGATTTCGGCTGATGGTGAGTATAACTAACACAAGAATAACAGCCATCTTTTAAAAAGGTTAAAATATTAAGTAAGTGGGCGTTATAAACATGGTTTGTACATCAATAAATAAGGTGATTTCTCAATGTAAATTGAAACCGGTTGCGAAATATTGCTATATTGTTTAAATGTGAATGCTTATTAGTATAATATAGTAAAGGTATGTATAGGAATATAAAAGTTCTTTCCTCATTTTGAATTTTTTCTTTCTTTATCTAACCTTTAAAATGAGACGAATTTCTTCGAATATTAGAGAAGACGCCAAGGTTTCTGTTTTGGGCTCTGTTGTGGGTGAAAACATTGCCCAAGCACTTTTGGGAGAATTATGGAAAACTAAATGACTTTCAGCAACAGTTTTACGAGTAGCACCAGATAATAACCGCTAGATAATTTGCCTCAATTCACAACCAGAAAATGAAATTGAGGTCTCAGCGGGCTGTATAAAGTTTGTGGCTTTTTCTACAACTAGTTCAGATACCAATCAAGATACAAGTAATGAAGAGCGAATAAGTGGTAGCGAAACAGATATTTCAAGTAATAGTGATGATAGTTTTAAGAATGGAGAAGCTATAGATGTTCGTAACATTAATAACGTACGATATACCAATAAATTATTACTATTGATTCTCGTCAAGTGTCATGCTCCTATTCCAGTACACCAGTTGTACATATTGCTGATATCTCTAATGCAACACCTAGACAGTTTTTTGAGCGTTTTATATCTGTTGATTTTATAATGTCAGTAGTAATTCCATTTACAAATAGATGTTTATGTGAATGTGAACATGGGTGGAGTAATTTAACATGGCCAGAATTTATGAAGTTTATTGGCATTTTAACAATTATGACGTATGTAAAATGTGCTAATATTTGCGATTATGGGTCTATTAAACAAGAAACGACTGGAGTTTCACTGGCATTTAGTCAATACATGTCACATCAATGATTTTGAAATATCATAAAATATTTGACATTAACAGATATATCAACAAATAACGATCCCTTTCATTTTGCACAGCAGTTTCATGATGAATTTAATGAAAATCTTACAAAAGCTATCCTACCTGGTCCTTATCTTTGTATGGATGAATCAATATGTCAATAGATAGGTAAAGTTGACAAAGGTCCATTTCAACGAAAAATACCCAGAAAGCCACATCCAATTAGATGTGAATTCAAAGGTCTTGCAGATGCTCAAATTAATTTATTCTTAAGATTAGACCTAGCGGAACCTTTGGAATATGCTATGAAAAATTTTTCAGATCAATACGCAGCAGTTGTTGCATCTATGTTAAGATTAGTAGAACCGTAGTTTCATAGTGGTAGAATAATTATCGCTGATTCGTGGTTTAGTAGTACAGATGCATGCATTACTTTATATAAACATGATCTTTATTCTATTCTACAGATAAAGAAATGTTGTTATTAGCCTAAGAATATCTCTAATGATATTACAGGTGTACTTGAAAATACATATGGGTCATTTATTAGTCGAGTATGCAAAATAAGTGATGTTGACTTAACTGTATGTTCAATTCGTGATCGCAAAGATATCGTACTTCTTGCTTGTTATTCTACAATAACTCTCAGAACAGTAGTAAATTGATATATTAAGGGTTATGGCAATGCAACATTCTGTCGACCTATTGTATTTGATGAGTATAATGAATTTAGATCAGCCGTAAACATACTTAATAATTTGCATGATAATTCACTTTCTTATCATGATATTCTTGGATCAAAACGCTCTGCAGATCATGTTTTTGCCTTCTATCTTACAGTTGCAGAGGCAAATAGCTTCTCTGCATATTGTAGATTTGTTCTGGGAAAAAAAAATATGAAACACGTTGATTTCCGCAAGCAATTAGCAAAATCGATCTTCAATTGTTATTCAGATAATACAATTGCTGATTGAACCAAAAAAAGACGAAAACAAGATTCAAATAATTTTGAACATCATCTTACAAACCTTAATAGAGATCCGGCAATCTCAAAACTCAATAAATATGTTCAACGTCGATGTATAAATTGTCATAAACGTACAACTACCTATTGTAGCTATATAATTTCACGAGGAATGTGTACAGATTGTTGGGTCCGGTATATCCATCTGACATATACTACAAGGTTAAAATTTTTTTTATTTATTACCCAAGGTTTATTATATCATTTTCTAAAAGCATATTTTAATTTTTTTTTATAGTGAGTCACCTGATAACTTTTAATAGTATACTAAATTTAGTACACCAATATTTGCTAAAAAATAATAGTTTTTAAAATTATTTTTTCTCGATATTTACATTATAAATAAAAATAAAATTTATATTTTTGAATAAAGCAATATATATTGATTCTTAAATATTTAAATTATTTAATTTTATTAAGTTTTGGTTTCTTTATGAATTTTACAAAATGTACTATTTTTAATACAAAACTATAAATCCAATTCATTAATATTTAGTTTTAAGATGTAATTTTAAATTTAATATTTTAAAAATATTTAAATTTTAAAAAATAAATTTAAACTTATTTTAATAAGTAAAGATTTTTGTAATAAATAGAAAAAAAATTGAAAAAATTCTTTTTTATTTTATATATTAATATGTTTATTTTAGTAAATAAGTTTAAATTTAATTTATTACTCAAAAATAGATATTTCTTCTTTTTTATTATAAAACACCTATATTTAAAAAATATTGATCTTTAAAACTAATATTTTTTTGTAATAAAAAAAGAAAAATGCTAGAAAAAATCAAATTTACTTTTATATATCAAATATGATTTTTAGGCTAAAATATATTTAAATTTAGCATTAATTTATTTTTATTTTTCTGGCAATTTTCACTCTTTTTATTGTAAAAATTATATATACTTTATTTTTAAAATTATTTTATTTTACTAATAATTATTATTTATAGTAAACAAATTAATTTATTTTTGTTTTTTTCTATAAGTGATAAAATTATATATATCATAATATCAATTAAAAAAATTAAAAAAAAAATAACAAATATAAAAAAATTTATCTGATGTATTTTTGCATATTTTATATTATTATATAATTTATTTTTATTTTTTAAAATTTTTTTTTAAAATAGATTTAATAATTAAATATTAATTGTTTAAATTTATTTTAAATTTAATAAAATATTTAAACCTTTAGTTTATTAATTTTTTCATTAAGGTTTTAATATAATTTCACATATTTTTATAAAATTTAATATAGCTTTAGATTTATCAAATTTTGTAAACAATATTATAAAATTATTGTAAATTAATTTTTCTATATTTACTAATAATATATTTGATAATTATATAGGAGTTTTATAGTAAAAAGTTACAAAACTTCAAAAAAATTTTTTTTTGAATTAATGTTAAATTTCAAACTTATTTTATTAAAAAAAATATATATATATTTAGCTTATAAAGTAAATATTTTAATTTTTTAGAGTTTCATATCTTTTTATTGCAAAATATTCATATAATAAATTATTAAAAAAAAATTAATATTTAATTTAAATCATGATTGATTAGTTATAAAGGTTTTTATAACTATCATTTTATATTACTAGCCTTTTGATATTACTATTAAAAAAGTTTTTTGTAAGAATATGATAAAATTTCTAATAATATTAAATAGAATCTATATATTATTGAAAAATCATATGATTTATTATTACTGATAAATGGTCTATTTATTATATTAGTATTATAAATTATATAATTATTATTTTAAAGCTAATCTTTTATAAAAGAAGAAAAACATTCTGTTAAAAATATTAATTGCAATAGATATACTATGTATTAAACAAATTATTAAAGAAATTGATAAAGAGAAAATTGTAATGATAATTATAAATAATACTTTCAATATGAAAGATGTTTAAATCTTTTTAGAGCTATTTTATAAAATTCTTTAATCAATTACTATCTGATTAATTAAGATTATATTCAATTAAAATTAATTGAAAATTGCATTTTACAAAATTTAAAAATTACAAATAATTTTACTTAATTTTAGAAAAAAAAAAAAAGATGGAAATGTTTTTATTTTATTAACATATCAATTAAATCCAAGGTATTGTTTAATGCTAATCAAATCAATAGGGCTTATTTATGAATGCAAAATGCTAAAAATAAAAAATAAAAATAAATTGTAAAAATTTAATTTTTAATTTTATTTCTTAAAAATCTGAATTAATCAATCATTATTTTAAAAATAAATATTTTATTAATTTACTTATTAGTTATCCAATAGATACTATTTAACGTAGCAAAAATAAGTTTTTTTTTTATTAACGTAGTGATGAATCACTTTTAATAAAGAATTGTTTTAACACAATTGTATCACAAAATGATGAAATTAGTAAAATCATACTAAACGTCTCAGATCAAATCACAATTTAGATGGTGAAGGCCGGAATTACAGGTCTTTTGAATTGGTTTTAAACATTGAATCAGTGCAGAAAGAAACACAATTCTGATGATAATCTTTAGCAAGATCGATCAAGGGTCAAATATTTATTATTTATATGATCATATGACAGTTGTTATCACTTATCGGTATTAATTAATTAATATAACTTTATCTTTTCAAACATTTAATATTTAATAACGAGGGAAGTATCAATAGCAAGTGTAACCACATGTATTATTGTAGTGCTAATAATGAAAGTTGGTAGAACAGTTCAAAAAACTTGATTTCATTCATGTGAAGAAACTTCTTAAAAGAAGAGTAAATGGGGGGGGGGGGGGTTTGAAAAACCTTTCTGCATTTCTGCATTTCGATATCCAAATATTTAGTCGGAGCGATTTCTAAAAAGTTTCATAAAATCAATCTGAATAAAAAACGATAACTATAAATTTCGTGCTTTATCAACCAGGAGCTGTTATTAGACCAGTTCATAAAGTGGTTATATTTACATTCTAATCCCTTGTTAATTTAAAATAATAGGCCAATTTTTGACACTTTTTAAAAAGATATTAGTATGAAATTATTACAAAAAAAGATCTGTTCTAAATCATCTAAAAATCGGATCATTTTTTTTTTATTTATTTATGAGTTGTGTAATAATTGGTGGTCACGTCACCTCTTCAATTCGTGGATTATTCCGTCATGCCAACCCTTAACCGTTATCAATAAAAATTTAACCATATATGTCTTAGATTAATGTATGTTTACATCAAAGGAATGAAAGTTTAAATTTGTTTATTTGTAGATACAGCACAAGGATAGCTAATTTGTAACCGGAAAAATCGTAAAGCAATTTTCAATAAATTTGAAATACGTCCGTCATTAATTAACAAGCAAAAAATGTCACAAGAGAACGTTCTCAATTAGTTTAAATATTCTTGTGTAATAAACATTCTAACTGACTTTTTTTTAAAAATTGGCAAATGATCTTGTACATGAGTTGAGAATTAGGAACGAATGATTTAAATGCAGATTGTAACATCAACGGAACCAGCTACATTGGATCACAAAATCTTTTGAACTGAGTAAACAGAGTAAATAATAAGAAATTACCAAGGAGGCTAAATCTACTAAAAATATAATGTGATGTATTTCGTAACGCACCGGTAATACTTTCTTATACAATAATATGAGGATAAAGGTGCAGGGCGAAGGTGGGCAAATTTTCCCACATGCTTGTAGATCCCGCCCAGCCTCCGACTACGCATCCGAACAAATTACTTATTATTAATATTATATATATATGTAAATGTATATATACTATTAAAGAAAAAAATAATGAACAAATCCCGTGTCACATTAATCTCATTATTCTTCTCCTTTTAAGATTCACCCGAAATGCGAAATGCGAGATCTTTTGAAGAAAATTTATTGTGACGAATAAGGAAATGTGATGAATCATTAATTTATTCGCAAAAACGAATAAAAGTCAACAATAATAATGACGATATTAACCAACCAACCTTCATCATGTCGTACGAACAATAAAATTTTCCGTTGGCATTTATTCGTACGTTAAAGAAGTTCTTTTTAACTACAATTGTAAAGCAAATGTGGAATTCAAAGAAATCATTTATATAATATTTAGGATTAACTTGTCCAGTAAAATGAAATTGTGGGGTTACTTTGACACATTTGATTTTCATTGTTTATTAACCTTTTTTTTATTATTATGATTTTTTTCATCTTTTTTATTTTAATTTTTTTTTGGAAAAAGTAAGAATACAAGTTTAAAAAAATGGAATAAAATGAATCAAATGGAATAAATGAATCATTTTTTGATATACGTGTATTGTTCTCAAGAAAGCTCATGTGATGCATGATAATGAAGTTATTGCATGTTTCACTTTGCATAAGAACTTGCTCTCATTCCTGCTGGGCGCTTTTTCGTATGCACGAATCAAAGATTTGTACGAAAAAATATTTCGGCATTATGTTAGTCCAATAAGTTACGATTTTCTGCAATTTGGATGAAAGATTTTTTTAAAATTTTTTCCGATGAATATTGTGGATTGTTTTCTAATTTTAAATTTTTGTAGCACTAATGATTTATTTTTACCGCCAAAAATCATTGCAACTTGAAATAGTAAGCCATTCTAGGTATAATATAATATTATTTGATTCGTTGGCGACCCAAGCCTTTGATATTGTTTGAATTCGAAATCTTAAAATGGCGTCAATATTTTTTTGGATTTTTTTCTTTTTAAACAATTTCGATTTACTATCTTGGAAATGTTGCGTAAAAATTAAATTTGGAAAATCGGGGATGAATCATCTTTGAGATTATAAATAAAACAATATTAAAAAAAAAAGGTGGGCGGAATTTCCATAAATTATAAAAAAATTATATTCTATTTGGGATTAGTCTTTTCTACTTATCGATCAAAAGAGAAGCAAAGAGAAAATTTTTTTACGATCATTTCTTTTTCGGAGAAATTAATTGTATTCGATTGGAGAAAAGAAAAATGTGGATCATAACTCAATCTTTAATCAGAAGATTTTTTTAAAGTGTTTCAAGAATTGTTTATATTACATATTTTTACATGATTGATGGAATTTTTGATTGACTTTGCATTTTACTTATTTCACTGTATTACCAATTAATAACGTAATTTATTAATGTTAACCAAATATTGATCTAAATGCTAAAAAAGTGCGACGGCACATGCATTAACGAGTTATTTGGCAAGTATTTTTTTTCCTTTGATTAATTTTATTACTATCTTTGGTAATAGCTTTAACCGATATGTTTTTTATCATTGGCGTTAATTTTTTTTTGCTATACTTCAAAGAAGAAAGGGTGGGCGCATTCAAAAAAAAAAATGTTCAAAACTCGAAACAATGAAAAACTCTCTTTCTGTGTCATAAAACTAAGGAATTTGTTAAATCTGGTCGGTGTAATCCTAATCTTGTGATCTTTTTTTTTACTCTTTTTAACTTGTACGGTTCACAGCATCCAATTTTTTTATTTATATATTATTCCCATTTTAGTACCTTGAAGTAATTCATTTTTTATTTAATATTTTTTTTTTTTATTCATATTAGGATTCATAGCGATAATTTCAAATTACACAATAATGCTTTTTTGGTTTTTGAGAGGGGGAATAAGTCATTTATCTCGATGAGTAAACGCCCATGATATTTTTGAATACAAGAGAAAAGGGATTGTATCAAATATAACACGGAAAGCATGACGTTTCAAAGATTAAATAAGAGTTACAGTACTCAACAAATTTTTTACTTTTTCAAACATAACAAATAAACCTTTATTTCGAATTATTCTCTCTTTTGTTTTACATATTTGAATATTTGGAGACGGTTACCAATTATACGTTTTATTTCTACAATTGGAATACAAATATATGATAAAACATCTTCAAAACCAGTTTGAATAAGGTTTGCATTTTCGAATGTCAAATTCATTTCATTTTTTTATTTATCACGTTCTTTTAATTAAAAAAAAACAAGGATGAATTCAAAGGTTTAAACCTTACAAAGAAAAAATCATGGGGATTTACAAAGGAGTTGGAAAAATGAATTGCCTTATTTAAATTATTTATTTATTACTTAACCATTCTCCTTAAAAGATTAAAATAGGCAATTCAATGTAACCTAACTCACCTAACACTTCATAGTATTTATACATTGCTAATCCTAAACTTTATAATATTGATAAAATTTTACCACACGGTTATTTGACGGGAGGGAACATTTAAAGCTAAAATATTTTTATTCTATTTTTTTTTTTTAACAAATCATAAACAAAAAAAAAAAATTCTCCTGAAAAAAAAAAGAAAAAATTATTTTTCTAAAAATTGCATTATCACTTTGGCCCAACGAACTAGATGTTTCTTAAGAACAATAAACCCGATTATTATTTGCTTTATTAATAGTTTTAATTTAATACAACTGTGACATAAATGTTTAAATATATATGCATTAGTGTGTAATGTATTTATTTTTATCCTTTTTTTTAGCTCACGCGATCTGTTTGGTAGTACTTGAGTAATGATCGACAATTTAAATAAATTTTTATATTATTGTACAGCTTGGTACAGCTTATAGTGTTTAGGACCTTTTTTTTATATTGTTTGAATTCGTATAAAAATGAACCCCATCCAACGTGTTTTTTTAAAACCATATCCTATCTATTGATTAAATTTTGTTTTTCTTTTATTATTTGAAAAAAGAAATTTTATTCTATATTTTCTCAGATAATAATATTTATATTTATTTCTCTCTAATATAAGAGGTTATAATTCCTTTGTTTTTTTATCAGTTTAAATATAACTCTCAACAAACAAACTCCTTCAATTGTTTCAAACTTTACAAGCGGGATTAATTTCATACTTCATTTTTTCCTTGCAGATAAATACTAAAAACCATCGTATTTATATCACAAACACCTTTTTCTTTTGAAATTTTCAACTTACTTTTGTTCTTTTTTTTAAAAAAAAATATCTCACAACCTTCATCATGAGATCAATCAAACGCATTTTTTCATCAAACGCATCAACGTCCCCATCAGAACCCGCAAAAAAATCATCTCAACAGCATGCTAGATTCTTTCGTTCGAATTCAGGCCCCATCATAATAGAATCGAACCAGGAGAAGAAACCAACAAAAGGCGCCGGCGCATTACATTTGGATACAAATATTCAACAACATCATCGGTTTCATTCTGCTGCGAATTCCCCCATAAGTTATAATGCACCTAGTTATAATACTACCCCGACCACGGGGACAAATTCACCGATTGACACCGAATTATTTAATTATCATCGCCAAAATAATCCTTTAATATCATCACAACTCATCAACAGACAAAAAAACATACCCCCAATAAGTATATCGATACCTCCTTCATCCACTCCCGTGGATCAACCGTCTCCTATTACGCGACAAAATCAAGCGGACGAATTTATTCAACAGGCCATACAATTTCATGAGGCCAATGAATTGGAGAAAGCTACTTATTACTTTAAATTGGCCGCAGATAAGGATAGTCCCCTTGGTCTATTCCTTTACGGTATCGCTTTAAGGCATGGTTGGGGTTGTAAACCAAATCCTAAATTGGCCGTACGTTTCCTTCAAAAGGCTGCAGAATCTGCCGTACATGACTTACATACCACAATGGCCGCAAGTCCTTCTATCGCTCGCCATGAGTTGGTTTTGGCTATTTATGAATTAGGTAAGCTTCTTAATCTTTTTTGTTGTTTTTTTTAAAAAAAAACTCGTTTTTATCTTTGTAAACCTGAAATTAACCTGAACCATTTTTCTTTTTATTTTTCTAGGCGTTTGTTTTCGACATGGCTGGGGTGTACCAAAGAATAAGCAAACCGCAGCCTATTATTTCGAAATTGCTGCCAATTTTGGTGATCCAGATGCTCAAAATGACATCGGTTTCTGTTATGCAAATGGTGAAGGCGTAAAGAAAGATATGAAAAAAGCCGCAAAGTTTTACCGATTGGCCGCTGCGCAAGGTTCTAGCATATTAGGGAATTCATGGATCTATAAAAAGAAATATGATGATTAATTAATTGTATATTTATTTTAGTGGGATTAGGGTGGGCTTTTTAATTTTATCCTTAATCATGTAAATTATTTTTTCTTTTTTACCCTTTATTCAACAAAATATCATAATACACCACAATAATTACACTTTACTATCATTGTCAAATATGGTCTTTTGCCATAAAATCATTATGAGCCATAATCAATCATATATGATTTTGATGGCAAATTTCTCATATATAAGCAACATATATATATTTTAAGATTTAACATATGCACTGTTAAAATGAGGATTAATTCCTCTTTTGCAGTAACAAAAAAAAAAAAGGTTTAATTTTTTAAAGCATTCTCACTATTTATAAACTGTATATGTACTATCTTATTTATTTTAATTTTCTTTCTTGTAAATAGTATTTTTTTTTTTAATTCATTATTAAGGAAAGAAAATACAATTCAAAAAAACAAAAAAAAACATAATAATAATAATAATATTTTAGAAATTAATTTAATAATTAACATGAACTTGAACAAATGATAATTTTTATAATGTTAAAAAATATATAATACAAATGTTAATTTCTAGATCCGAATTCGTATTCCAAAAACTAATTTCCTTTCACTCTTTCAACCGAATAAATATTCCCAACACCCAACATATTAATAAAAAATTAATGTGTTTAATGCTGAGACCATTGAATTGATTTGAGATCAATTCCTTCTTGAACCTATAAAAATATACACAATTAGAAATAATACTTTATTATTTTTTAAAAAAAAGACGTGAATTTGTCACGTACCATCTCCCAAAGTGGAGACATTTCCCGTAGTTTATCAACATGTCTTACAACTCTATCTATTACGAGATCAATTTCTTGCTCTGTGGTAAATCTACCTATACCGAACCTAATACTTGAATGTGCCATATCATCATCTGCTCCTAAGGCACGTAATACATAAGAAGGTTCCAATGAAGCTGAAGTACACGCTGAACCAGACGAAAGTGCTATATCTTTAAGTGCCATTAAAAGAGACTCTCCTTCAATATATGCAAATGAAAGGTTGACACATCCTGAAAAAAAAATAAGTAATACGCTTAGATTCTTTAACTCCATGTGATAAGTCCATTTAATACTTTTTTAATATTCTTTTGTACCTGGATATGTTGCAGTAGGGTCACCGTTACGTACTACATGTTGAACTTTCGACGTAATACCGTCAATTAGTCTCTTTGAAAGTCGCTTGACACGGTCTGAATCATACTTGAAAATGTGAAATTACAATGAGAAGGTTAGAATAAACATTTTAAAAATAAAGAAATAATAAACGTTGGGGTGGTTTTTTCTTTTTTATTTTGTCAGAACCCCTGCATAAAATATTCGTCATGAAGACAACATGCATTATGCATTATAGAATAGTGCAAAATTGTTTTTCTATCGAATTTAGCGGTTTCTCATCATTCAGAAAACTTAATATATAAACAATTAAATGATACATACTTGCATTTCTTCCTTGGCGATTCGACAGGCTTCACCTAATCCAACCACCAATGGTGTAGGAACCGTTCCACTTCTCAATCCCCTCTCTTGCCCACCACCGCTTTGTAAAGCTTCAAGTCTTACTCTAGGTTTTCTTCTACTATACAAGGCACCAACCCCCTTTGGTCCATAAATCTTATGGCCAGAGATACTCATCAAATCAATATTCATTTTATTAACGTCCAACGGAATTTTTCCAACAGCTTGGGCAGCATCCGTATGGAAAAATACTTTATTTGAGCGACAAATCCTACCAATTTCTTCCATTGGTTGTGTTACTCCGATCTCGTTATTTACCGTCATAATGGATACGAGTGATGTATCTGGTCGAATGGATTCAGCCAATTGATTTAAATCAATAAGACCGGATGGTTGAACTGGTAAGTATGTGACATCAAACCCTTCTTCGGACAAGACACGACACGAATCAAGCACACATTTGTGTTCCTATATAATTAAAGTATCATTAACGTACTTGAAGAAACGTTGTGACAAAAAAATAAAAAATAAAAAAAGGTATGTTACAATATTAGTCGTGATAAGATGTTTTTTGGTTTTTTTATAAAACCTTGCAACTCCCTTGATGCTCAAATTATTCGATTCAGTGGCACCGGATGTAAAAACGATATCTTTTACATCTGCTCCTATTATTTCAGCCACATGCTACAAAAAAAAAATTTTTTAAAAGAAAAAGGTCTTTTTATTACTCATGTAAGACGGAAAAATAGTAAATTTAAAGGAAGAGAATCTACGTACCTCACGAGCCTTCTCAACAGCCTTTTCGGATTCCCAACCGTATGCATGTGTCCTTGAATGTGGATTTCCGTATTGTTGTGTGAAAAATGGCATCATTGCATCAAGGACACGTGGATCTGTAGGAGTTGTAGCCTGCATATCTAAATAAATAGGACGATGTCCTTTCTTGACCTTTGTCTCGTTGAATCCCAAAGAAGCTATACAGATAAAAACAATAAATCGTTATAAATTAAAAAAAAAAAAGTCAAATCAGAAAGTATGTATAATTTGTGATATAAACCAACCAGGTGAGGGAGCTACAAGGGTTTGCGTTATAGTTTCTATAGCAGGTATTGTCTCTACGGTGGAAGCTTTGTCAGGGGTGGTCACAGAAGCAAGATCTCTTTTATGTAACAGACCAACAGAAGGATTAGGATTTACCACTCGGTGAAGTGAAATCACATTACGAGTGGCTCCGCGGCCCAATATTTTTGAGGATGTCGCACGTAACATCGTTTTAAAATATGAATAAGGAAAAGGCGCGAAGTGTATAATCAAGTGCTTAAAAGAGTTGAGAGTCGGTTAACATCTATGTATTTGGAAAATTAAATAGATCTTGCATTATCATCTCGTGACATTGCACAAATTTTTGCCCGTAATGTTGGCCCAAATAATTAAAAATATTTGATCGTGCGAATTAGATTGTCATTATGATATCATTAACTAAGCCCGAACGTAAAAATAAGAACTAATGAAACTAAATAACAGTTATATATTTCTTTATATATTTTATATATATATATACGCCCAGTGACTAAGGTATCTTAAAGGAAATTAAAAAAAATTATGAAAAAGATGAATTACGGAACAACATTACCTCAAACTACGGCAGAAAGTTCTTCAAGTTCAAGACCAGTTGAGAGAGATATTTCACCGTCAAGTATCAATTTCATGGAAGAAATTTGTAAATTTCGAGTTTGGCTAGGGGATGCATTTGAATCTCGTCGAGCTCATTGGATCATTATCGGATTGGTAGCGGCGGATTTCATTGCTGTTATGTCAGTAATAATAGTCTCATTTTTATGGCCGGAATTCGAAGAAAAAGAACATGAAATATTCGAAACTCTTGAATTAATTGCATTTACAATAAATACGATTTTTGTTTTTGAAGTGGTGATAAAATTGTTCATCTTTGGAGTTTACTACTTTATAAAGTCTCCTCATTGGCAATTGCATCTTTTTGATGCGGTTATCATTTACACAACTTTCTTCTTGGAAATCTTCCTTTCTGGAAAGCAAAGAGAAGTTGTGGGACTTTTAATCTTGTTTCGTCTATGGAGGCTCATTAAAGCTCTTAGTATCGTTGCCGTTGGGTTAATTGAATACGATGAAGATAAAGTTGATCAATTGAAACTTCAAAACAAATTATTAAGAGATGAGTTGGAAAATTTATTAGCAGAAATTGATTCGATCGCAAGAGAAGATCATTGGAATGAACAAAAAAGGTCTCGCATATTTAGTTCCCATCAAAAAGATTTATTGAACGAAGATGATGAGGATAAAGTTAGCATTAACGTTAGGCAGTGACGAGCCGATTGCTGCGGCCGGGGTTTGCTGTCGGACATTGTGTAACAAAACCATATCTAGTCCTATATTAAAATTTACTATTGAAGATTTTTTCGTAATTGCTTTTTAATCTTCTTACTAAATCAATCTATTTTCACACTTTTAACTTTAATAATTTTAATCATTTTGAATTCTGCAAAAATGTCCCTTTTCATTTAATAAGTAGAAAACTTTTTTTTTTTTTTAAAAGAAAAATACATTTCAAATATTAAATAAAGTAATATTTTGTGCACAGCATCTAAAGAAAATAATAATAAAAATAATAATTTCTTTGGAATTTTTCCAAAAACATGTTTCATGTAATAATGTGCAAGTTATTAAGTTTCAGTTTCAGATATTTTAAGGGAAATTAATTTCCATATCAGTTCATTTGATTTTGAACTTATTAGAATCATTCAGTAAATAAAAAAAATAAATTTTTATATGATATCATACAAAAGTGAAACGTAATTCGGTGTTAGTAAAATACCACCGGAGCAAAATTTTTATTCCCTTTATTAATTTTACTTCATTTTCACGTATCGAGTTAATGAGTTAATCAAATAATAACGTGTAAATTTCCTCAATACAAATCACGGGTAGAATCAATAAATTAACCTTTTCACATAAACTCGCTCATAATACAAATGATATTTGATTGGTTGGGATTACACCAATCGCTTGTCAAGGATAAAAAGGATGTTTTTTTCTACTTGATCTTTTTCTCACGAAATTCCATCTTAACAAAATGTTTACAGCATCAAATCAAAAAACCATATTTCAATATGAAAACGAATATAAAAAAGCATTTCTTACCTTTTTTAAATTTTTAACCAGTGAAAATGGAATCGATGAGAATAAGCGAAAGTTTGTTCTCGATTGTATTGAAAAATTTGTGGATACTGAAGGATATGATTCAACAAAACGTTTCGTCCTTGATATATTTGAAGAAGTTGGATTCGAAACGGTTCAAAATGAAAGATCCGGCGCGAAGAGGAATGATAATACCATTGATAAAAATGGTGCCACGTCCAACCTTGTAGCCGACGACAACGCCGTTTTAGAATTCCCAATGAAGATCGATCTCCAACAGATGCACTTGCTTCAATTCTTTCAACGCGCCTTGGCTCTCAACGTCGCCACCGGAAGTTCAAACAAACGCATCTTTGGATTCAAAATTCCATTCGTGAACGACCATGCATTTTTTGTTAAAACTTTATACTTGGGTACTATAATGGTGAGGTATAAACGAGAAGGGGAAAGTTGTGTACCAGAGATAGTTCGATTGGATAAAATCCCAAATGGGTGGAAAATTGACGGTGATAGGAAACCTCTTGATGGTACCACCATCTTCGACTTTTATCAGCAGGGTCTGAAAACGAGAAAATACTTCATGGAAAAAAAGACCAAGAAGTTAATGATTCCAATTTTATTTGGTTCAAAGAAATGCGTCAATTAACTAGAAGAAATATTTTACGAAGGGGGAAATCTTTTTTATTTTTTTAACATGCTAAGTATTATTATAATGAGTTACATTTAAAAGCTAATAAAACATACGAATAAGTTCAGATTTTCAAGGATTACATAATTGTCCATGTCAAATGATTAATGATGTAAATAAATGTAACAAAGCAATGAACAAGCTAAAGAGGGCATTTTTAGGCTGTGAAATTTTTTTGTTATTTTCATTTCAGGGTTCTTCGCGGTGATCTGCCATCGAAACATTTCGGCATGCCAAGTTAATTATAAAGTATTTCCGTTGAGGTATGCACGCCCGAGCAGATAACCATTAAGAGTTCTTCCATAATGGGCAAACGAATTTCAGAAGGTGGAAGAACCAAACGTGTTAGTAGGTGGGGCGCAATGCTAAATGTTCATCCGGCTATGTTTCTATATGATTCATGAATTAGGAGATTCGATAGGATACGAAACAGGGTCGCACAAGCAATTTTTCATTGCAAGCAATTCACTAGTCTCAAAGTGTTCATGGCTTCCGATTTTTCAGCATCAAATATGGTATAAAGGCTTCGGCATAATTTTTTTTTTTTTTTGGTGTTGAGAAAATTTCTTTATATAGTTCGAAATTGCCGATAATTTTTTTACTTCAATTTCGGGCTACTCTTCTCCATTTTTGGTTTTGAATAAGTCCACTGAAGTTGACTTATTTTCATCGGGCCATCCAAGCCCGTTTTGTATTGCACGGCATTTTACTACCACCTTTCCATCATCTGTGATGTTTGGATAACCCGTCAAATCCTCTCTACCCTTTTTTAACCAGTCAGAAATTCATGATTTAATTAAATGGTTTATAAATTAGGAAAATCCGAAAAAATATGACGGTTACGTAATGCGGAATACGTGAGTGATCATAGACAATTATTAAAAGTTACAAATATTTTTAATATAACTGGATTATCATGACCATATTTTGCATTTTTTTTTTCCATTCTACTATGTTATCTATCACGTTGTTAATTATATTAAATTAAATGGTTCCTTTTGCGCGTTTTTTCGTTGTGAATTAATTATTAGGTTACCATAAAACGACAATTATCGGTGTAACCTTTGGTTAGCGTGGTACTCAAAGGAACAAGTATGGAGCGCTTTCTCGAGGTGCCACTACATGAACGCTTGAACCCTCTCCCAAATTCAGCGCAGTTCTTCCTTTCCTTTGAAATCTTCCTTGTGATGAGATGTAAATAGAATTTCATATAGAAAGCCATAAAACTTGTAATGAAATAATTAACGTAGCACCAACATTACCAGTTTGTATGCGACATTACAACTCACTATATATAAAGTTGTAAACAAAAAAGAAGTTTGATGAGTTGTAACACATTGAACAAACCCTTTTTTTTTTTTTTTATACATTTATTATAATTTTCTTTATATTCACCCCCATTCTGCTTGATTTCAATCAAATCATAATCTTTTTTCTTTTTCGCCTTTTCTCTCTCGACAAATTAATTTTTTTTTCTTTGTCGTCAAAAGAGACAAATGAAATAAAGGATGAGAAACTAACGAACCAATTTTTTAACTATCAAAACAAAAAAGACAAAAAAATAGAATAATAAATGTTCTAAAATAATATTCTTGTAAATGTCGTATTATTTATAGTATTGTCCCCTATCATAAGAAATAATAAAACTTCGACCCGTTTGTTTCATTTAAATTATAAATAGAACTCATTTTTAGCTAAAGAAAAAATAATAAAATAATAATAAAATAATAATAAAATAATTTTTTTATTTCTCGAAATCGTGAAGCAGAAAAAAGATATCATAAAAAATGGGAAACTGCGTTTCGCATAAAGCTGATAACTCCTATTCTGTCTCAAATAGGCAAATAAATAAATTACTTAAGGAAGACGAGAAAAAATTAAAAACTGAAGTGAAAATACTTTTACTAGGTAATTTCTTTTTCCTTTTTTAAAGTTTGGTTTTTTTATTAAAATATATATATATATATATTCTCGATTTATCTAACCTTTTTTTTTCTTTCTAGGTGCTGGAGAATCTGGTAAAAGTACAATCTTGAAACAGATGCGATTGATTCATGCCGCAGGATTCACCGGCACGGAAAGAGAAACATATCGATCAATTGTGTTCACAAACATCACGGAATCAATGAGCCTGATACTTGAATCAATGGAATATTTTAAGATACCCTTTGGAGATAGTGAAAATATGGTAAATAACGGGAATAAATATTACTTGATGAAATTTCCTTTCCAATTTAACGTGATGATTCTTTTTACACGTAGCAATATTTACCGTTATTTAATAGCCCATCACCGAGTATCATTAAAGGACATCCATATCCGATTCAATATTTTGATTCATTGACAAAATTATGGGCTGATAGTGGAGTGCAAAGCTGTTATGAGAAAGGTCATCAATACGCATTACATGATAATATGAGTTAGTGAGTGTCTCGGCTTTTTAGACTCGCGAGAATTGTAATCGTTATAAACAATAATTAAGACTTTTTTTTTTAATTTAGTTTTTATGAATCACTAGAAAGGTTATTTTCACAAACATATATCCCAACAGATCAAGATATTCTACGTTGTCGATTGAAAACAACGGGAATTGTTGAAACGTTGTTCCAATTAAGTCCATTAACATACAGGTAACAAATATTTTACTACGTTCGTGATTAAATAGTGAATCTCAGTTTCGACATGAATTGACATTAATTAACGATACCCTCTGATGTCATAGAATGTTTGATGTCGGCGGCCAACGTTCAGAACGAAAGAAATGGATTCATTGCTTTGAAGATGTTACGGCTGTATTATTCGTGGTAGCCATAAGTGGTTATGATCAATGTTTGGTGGAAGATAAGGATGCGAATCAAATGCAAGAGGCATTAATGTTATTTAATTCGATTTGTAATTCGCAATGGTTTGTGAAAACTTCAATGATTTTATTTCTAAATAAAATTGATATATTTCGGGAAAAGATCAAAAATTCTTCCGTTAAAAAATATTTTCCCGATTATACAGGTAAAAAAATCTCTTTCATACCTTAGAAACTTGGATAATTTTTGTGAAACAAGTAAATGCTGAACCCTTATTAAACTCGTCCTTGAATCGAAATAGGTCCGGATGAAGATTTAAAACAAACTACACATTATTTTAAGCGAAGATTTCAACGTTTGAATCGTAGTAATATAAAAGAAATTTATCCACATTTCACAAATGCTACAGACACGAATCTATTACGGCACATAATGCGCAGTGTCACAGGTATTTAAAGTTTATATACCTTTCTTAAAGGTCATTACTTTTTTTAAATACTAAAATAAAATTTCTCTTTAGATATCATTTTGACACAAAATCTCAGAGATTTGGTTTTATAATTATAATAGATAATAATATTAAGGAAATTTTTTTTTTTTTTTTAATTTTTTTTTAAAAAAAGTATGTAAAACATTTTTTTAATGTAATTAATAATTTATTATTTTTTTTTTCCTTTTTTTTTTTTTTTTTTTTTTTTTTTTGGATAATCAGCAAATCAAAATTTCGGATATGAAAACTAATATAGAAGTGAATAATTTAAAACATAGAAATGAATCGTCAAACATATAGAAGTGATTCCGTTTAGATTTGACAAATTAGTTAATAGATTTGCGTAATGAAAAATTGTCGTTACAATTCTTTGTATTTCTTACTGATTTTGAATGTTAATGATATAAATTAAAAAAAAATGAAAAAACTAATATTACTAATTAATGTAACGTTACCTTTTAAGATATTAGGAATTTTCCTATTTAAAGAGTAAAGGAAACAATTTATTATCGGAATTCAAAACGGATCCTCATTTTTTTTTTTTTTTGATGAAATCGATAAATGATAATTAATATTTAATCTTTTTGGATCCTTAATAAATTTTTCGAGCTTGTTCCAGTATTAAAATACTTGAAACTTTTTAATTAAAAATCAATAATCCTTCGTGCGTTAATTAGATATGATCGAAAATTTATCCTTATCCAAATTCGAGTTACGTTTGGATCAGGTTATCGCAATTATTGTGGTTGTTTCATTGATAATCATTATCAAATCTTTATCATTCAGAAATGAAGTCGTGAAATTCGTTGTCGGAGTTCCTATCGGTAAATGATTTAATATATATATGTTTTTTCGAATTGATTTATTTTTAATGTTCGATTCTTTATCTTACCATATAGAGGCCAAACCTGGTTGGAAAGGGGGCAAAATTTTGGATAAACCTTGTTTAAAAGTGAACTAACTTTTTTTTTTTTTAATCATAATGGATTTATTTACGATTTTTCTAAATAGCCTTTTTTTCTTCAAGGATGCATCGAATCCCGGGTACATCACGTGCTATGACCCAGCAACAGGACAATTGTTGGATACGATTCGAGCACACACTAAAGATGATGTTAAAGAGGCATTAAAGAAGGCTCGTGATGCACAACAAATTTGGGTAAAGACAACCTTTTCTGAAAGGAAAAGGGTACTTTATAGTCTATTGAATTTCATTATCAAAAATCAAGAAGAAATTTGTTGGGTTTCAAGTCGAGATACCGGGAAAACGCGTACGTCTCAATTTTTTTTTAAAAAAAAAAAGATTTGGAAAATTTTTTAAAACATGATCTTTTTTTTTGAAATTTTTAGTCGTTGACGGGAAATTTGGAGAAATTTTGGTAACTTGTGAAAAGATACGATGGATTATAAAACATGGAGAAAAGGCATTAGCCACCGAGTATAGAGGATCCAGTCCAGTTTTACTACATAAATTGGCCAAAATTGAATATCAACCCCTTGGAGTTGTGACGGCTTTGGTATCTTGGAATTATCCGTAAGCATGATTTTGTTCATGTTTTATTTAAAAAGAGGTAGTAGTTTACTTACAAGGTCGAAAATCTAGATTTCATAACGTGTTTGGTCCCATCATATCATCATTATTTGTTGGAAATGGAATCTTGATCAAATCTTCGGAACAAGTGGCTTGGTCAATGCAATATTATAGTAGAATCATTAAAACTTGTTTGATGGAATGTGGTCACGATCCTGACATCGTGCAATTCTTGTGTGGATTCCCGGAATGTGGTGAAGCCGTGGTGAGAAGTGGAGTTGATGGAATAACTTTTATTGGGTAAAGTTAATAAATATCATCTCAGTACTTTTCTTTTTTTAAAAAAAACAAAAAAAAAAAATTATTACATCGTAATTATTATTTACAGTTCATGCGAAGTTGGTAAACAAGTAATGAAAGCGGCATCGGATAATTTAACACCTTGTATTTTAGAATTGGGTGGTAAAGATTGCGCTATTATAAGGCATGATGCAAACCTATCTCAAGCACTTCCTATTATTATGCGTGGTACCTTCCAAAACGCTGGTCAAAACTGTGTAGGATTGGAGCGTATCCTAATTCATGAATCATTATACGATGAATTTGTTCTTAAGGTTACGGAACAAATAAAAAAGTTAAAAGTTGGAAGTAGTTTGAATGATGATGACGTTGTAGATGTTGGTGCAATGACCATGAGTGGTCAGGTATGAAAATGTTTGTTTATAATGTTATCATCCTGATTAATTTAAGATCAAATCAAAGTATTCACTCGTTTAAATCTTAGGGAGAACGTCTTCAAAACTTAATTCAAGCTTCGGTGTCGGAAGGGGCAAAATTGGTTTTAGGAGGTCGTCCATTTACTCATCCAAAATATCCAACAGCACAATACTTTGAACCAACTCTCTTAATTGATGTAACGTCACATATGACAATTTTAAAGCAAGAATTGTTTGCACCTATAATGATCGTGATGAAATTTTCGACAGATGAAGAGGCAATTGAAATATGTAATAGTTCACCTTTTGGATTGGGTAATTCGGTTTTCTCTGGTGATCAAAATAAAGGGGAATGGATGGCTAGAAGATTAAGATGTGGCATGGTAAATGTAAATGATTTCGGTGCCACTTATCTCTGTAATTTACCGTTTGGTGGAGTTGGTATCTCCGGATTTGGGAGGTGAGATTTATTTTTTTGAGCAATAGAAAAAAACAATATAAACATTTTATTTGTTTATTTTTAATTTTTTTTTTTTATTAATTTTATTTTATTATTTTTTTAAAAACAAAAAAAAAAAAAAAAAAAAAAAAGATTCGGAGGCGTAGAAGGACTCCGCTCATTGTGTCTGATGAGATCGGTTACAACCGATAGGATTCGGTTCTTTAAGACATCTATACCACGTG